GGACGCCGTCCCCCGACTTGCTGGTATTCACTGATGCTAGTGGTGCACTTGGCCGGTGCTCGTACAATTGCGACCAGGGATAGGGCGATGGACAGTCAATCAAGCAGAGCAGCAATCGCAAAGGGTTGTTTGCAATTGTGGCAGCCCGCAGCACCTGGGAGAACTAGCGGCATCAGCTGCGAATGCCAATCGATGGGCATTTACAGCAACTGCGAGGATATTGCTCATCAGTTGTGGCTTTGGCCTGGCGTTGTACACCGGCCACTCGTTTCGAATCAGCTGCGGGACTCGATATTCAGAGAGGCGGCAAGGTGGAAAGCGATGTCTGCCCGTGTAACATTCGGACGCCACCTGCAGCCACAGTATGGGTGGCTGCGGCAATGGCCTCAGCCCATGATATCAAGTTCTGACAGTCTTTACCTAGCTTGCACCGCTTACAGATTGCACGGGTAGCTGCACTTTGTGATCCGCTCCGGGAGTGCCGATTTATGGAATATATGCTCTCAACTGGTTATGCATACCATTATTTAGCATTTGGAGGCTCTACTCAGAGTCATTGGCGGCTCCATGCGGAGTCATTGGCGGTTTCATGTGGAGTCATTGGTGGCTCCATGCGAAGTCAATTTGCGGCTCCATGCGGGGTCATTCGGCGGCTCCATGCGGGGTCATTCGGCGGCTCCATGCAGAGTCATTCGGCGGCTCCATGCGAAGTCATTCGGTGGCTCCATGCGGAGTCATTTGACGGCTCCAAGCGGAGTCATTTGCCGGCTCAGCTGCGAGCCATCTAGTGGCTCCAAGCAGAGCCATCATACCAGTTGATCGAATCGGCACTCCCAGCTTAATCCAAAACTCGGTTGCTCTGTTGTGAGGTGGGGGGATGCTAACCTAGGAATGGGTTTGCTCCCCACACTGGAGCTCGCGCTATTCCGTCGACTTGACACTTGACGGACTCACGACTGCCATCCAGAGTCGCCACCACTATTTCTAAACCATACGGCTAATTATTTTAGTTAGCTATCCACTTACCGGTACAGTAAAACCTGTGACTACCGACCACCCCTTGGTGCCAGCAAAAGCGGTCTTTAGTAGCAGGTGGTCTTTAGTTAGAGGTTTGCACCGCGTGACCATATGTGGATCCCATTATATGATATGTATGTCAAAATGCAGCTAATACAATTCCCCAGGACTTGCGCAATGTCAGAAAGACGGAGAGATGGAGAGAGAGAGAGAGAGAGAGAGAGAGAGAGAGAGAGAGAGAGAGAGAGAGAGAGAGAGAGAGAGAGAGAGAGAGGAGAGAGGAGAGAGAGAGAGAGAGAGAAGATTAATTTTTTGCAGACTTCAAATTCAGCTGCTACTTCTGAAGCCAGGAGTCAAACGTTCCCTGGAGAAGTTTCGTTTCGCGCTGGGCTTCAAATTTGTTCATGCGATCAATCATACCGACTGTCCTTGTTGTGACTTCTCGATTGCTTGAACGCGATCCTTCAGCATCAGGACCTTGTGGTGCTGCTTTGTTTCTGGATTCCTTGATGCCATCGTCAATCCGTCTGTATGACTGGGGTGACAGAGCCGCCCAGTCTTCGTTTCTCCTCCGAGTAGTAACATCGATCAGAGAGCGCTTTCGATGCGCTCTCCAAGACGTTTCCTATCATGTTTTTTTCTTGACAGCGCTTGAAATTGACAGGTGTAGTGCAGTCCACACCGACTCCACAGCCCAAAATACTTGCATTCATTTGTTCAGCTGTAGTATCGAAAGATTCTTTTCAGGTCCATGGAAAATCAGTAAAATTTCAAGAAGGAGCTTCGAGCAAAATTTGATTTCCTACATCGCGGTCGCTAGTTACGGGTCAAAAGTTGTGTTTGGGACAGGAAAAGGCGGTCGCTGGTCACGTTCAGAAGGTAGTCGCTAGTCACAGTGCATTTTGAATGTGAGACCTTCCGTGCCTGGCGAAGTGGCCGGTAGTACCAGGCTGGTCGCTAGTGACGGTGGTCTTTAGTTACAGGTTTTACTGTATATCCCTTACCGAAATTGTATTCTTGAACGCAATATTCTTCTTTCTTTTTCTTCTACTCCGTTCCATCAGCACTCGGCCGATGGCAGGAGATTGGTACCCACTGGGCTAGCATGCAGCAGCCAAAGCTGGGGCATTTTCTTACTCCGTTAAACCCACTTCTTAAAACGAAACTGACGTGCATATTCACATTGCATGTTGTGAATGTCCCCATATTTGCCCCGACATCTTAGCTCGTACAGCGCTCCAGATACATCTATGCTACGGTGCGCACCGCATACTCGAATTACGGTACGGGACACATACGGGATACTGCACCAACCATGGCATGCCACGTGAACCACCCTACCAGGCACCGTGACACCCACCGAATTACAGCGGTGTGGATACTGGCTAGCGCCAGATGCTACTAAAGTACAACTGAATAGCGTCTTTTGCATAGCTACGGAAATAATCTCATATCCCAAGCATTGCAGCTCTGCTAATAGAAT